CCATTTTTCCTCAGGGATGGTAGAGCGAGCGAAACGCGAGGGCGCGTGAAAATTACCCCACGCGAGAAAAGGCACGCGCACTCGCGTTTCGCTCGCTCTACTATCCCTGAGGAAAAATGGGGGACTACTCGTAGTCTATACCCTGGGCGACCAGGATAGGGGAATATAATACTCGACCTTCCTTGCATCATCGCGAGAGCCTATAGCCTTCACTTTCTTTTGGCTCGTCCTACAATCCTACCTAACGTTCGTGGGACAGGAAAGTCTGCGTGCGAGGCTTGGGAATCTAGGGAGACTATGGTACTGATGGTGCAAATTGCCGGGATGAGCTACTTTGTCCACACGAACCAGGAGGATTGGGTCTGCTAGAAGAAATCAGGTGTAGCTTTCTGTGATAAGTAATATTCCAACAGTATAGGATCATAGTTTGAAGCCATTTCACAATCACTAGTTTCCGCGCACCTCTACCGGCGAGTTGTGGACAAAAGCAGCTGATAGCTGTATGCGAACCTTTTTTCCACAAAATGGTTTCTGGGTTTTCGTATTCGACAGTGTCATGTATTGATTTTTTTTTAATCTTGATCGAGGTCTTTTTTATTATGTACTGTCTATCTGACTGACTGTTTCTTTGCGTTTTTTTTTTTCTGGTAATAACAGGTTTCATAATTTGGTCGTGGTTGGGGTTATAGGCTCCTGATCGTGAGCAAATAGCGAAAAAAATCAACAAGTAAAACCAAAGTGAACTATAGCGTTGAATCCGTTGGCCACGGAGAATTGGTATTATTCTGCAAGTTCTTTACTACAGCAAGAGAGTATACTCCCTTGACTATGGGACATTGGGCCGGGGGAACTTAGTATTTTGACCCGGCATAGGGGAGGAGGGGAGGGGGAGGGGGTACTCTGGCCAGATTCCAAGTCACGGGGATGATCGAAGTATGTTTTTTTCTTGGTTTGAAAATATTTTGAACAAATTTTTTTTTTTAGCCTTGGCTTTACTCAAAATATTCGTTTTTTTTTGGTCTTAATTTTCGCTTCCACCTGCTTCCACGGATCACTCACGACACTTGGAATCCGAGGTACCCCTCCTGTTTAGTATTTCGAAGACAAAAAAGCTGTTTCAAAGCCTAGTAGGTAAATAAAAGAAAAATAAATATGCATGGCTGTTTCTACTGCGATGAGAGGATTTCTTGTCAAAAAATGTGAAAACGGTATTAAAATTGCTGACAACAGCTACGAAAATTTCGTGACAGCATTCTGACGTGACTAAAGCGTGTGACCAATTTCCGGTCACACGCCAAAGGTCATACGATCTTGTGCGATGTTTATTATCAGCCGACGAACGATTGAAGTGATGAAAGGTTTTCAAAATCGAAGTCATTAGTTTGCTATGAATTTTTATTCCTTTTGCCTCCTGACTGAAGTAAAAACTCTTGCAACTCTTGCTTCGACGTGTTGTGACTTTATTTCGATTCACGGCCGGATTCGGACGCAGTTGCTGAGCAAACGTACGTTTGTCTTTTGGCTAAAAATTATATATTTTGTGACTCAAACCGACGCAGAAGAAGTCGGAAATAACTTTCCTTGCCGTAAAAACCTGTTACAAGCAATGGTGAGTAATCCTTTCATGTAAAACCTTTCTTTTAGTTTGACAACCGTCCGCAAGCCGTCTAATTTGCATAAATTTCCCAATTTAATTGCTCTCACCGCTTGCTTTGGTGTCAGGATGATATTTGATTTCCAGAGCTAAAACTTTCCAGTAAGTTAGTACAAAAGCCAAGGTTCCATATTATATTGATTTTATGATCAAGCGGCATATACCAGAGGCCTTTTTTAATAGTCAAAGTTGGCCTTCATTTTCTGGCACGTCTAACGTCACAAATATGACCTCTTTACACTTGTCGATTATAAAAATGTAAAGCATTGTTTATCAAATTTTCTTTTAGGATTTTCAAGAGTAAGAACAAAATAATAATTCGGTGAAGTTTCAATGTCAGGGAATGTTTCTTACGCTTTCACCCTTCCCTCGAAGTTGCCATTGCATCCTGCCGTGTTTTGTGCGAAAAACGAGCATGACATCGATTTTTCAAACTTTTCCTAATTTCTCGTTTAAAATGAATCGTTTGAACCCAAAACTATTTTTCCTTAGATTAGGTCACTAAAAGGGATGTTTTGGCAAAATAAAAAAAAATTCGAATTTTTGACGAGTGTCGTGCGATTTTCGATTTTCTCAGGTAATGGCTCTTAAAAAGATCAATGAGGAATCAAGGATTGCTTAACAAGTTTTAGTCTAAAGAACTAGTAGCTAGTCTTAAAAGCGTACAGGAGGCCGCCCAGAGGAAAATTTGAGTGAGAATCAGATTGGTATTCGCGTGGTGTTGATGCTATAAGGTAAGTGGCACACACGAGAAATTTTAGAAAAAAAAAGTCTTTAATTGTAAATAAATAAGAAAAATTAATGACACCTTTTTAAAATTACGTGCTTAATTTGTTTCATATTCTTTAGATTTATTCTTAGGAACGCTTAACAGCTTTTTCATAGCTGATGTTGCTTCTGGGCATCCTTTGTAACGTTTCACCTGCCCAGGTGTATGAGGTGTGTCCTTGCACTGTTGAACAGAAGATCTCCCCATACATGTCTCCTGTTAGCTACTGACATTGCTTTAAACATTGTTTTTTCTTGATAATGACTTTTTGCAGCCCTGAAGTTGTTTTCACATACCAACTATTTTTGGAGATTTCACCTTCGCGTCGGATACGCGCTTTCAGTGAAATACCATTAAGATACATAATTCACTCTCTCAGTTAGGTATGGTGTTGTTTAGCTTTAAAGATGACTTGCTAATCGCCTCGCGCAGTCCAGAGCATTTCTCACTTTTGGAAATGTGCGAAACAGTAGTGTGACGTCAGAGCATGGCGGGTTACGAATTGGTGTGGAAATCTTGTCGAGTTCTTATGGGTCCTTATTTTACCATAGAGAATAGTGAGAGTTGTTATCTCGTTGAACGCCTTATTACAAGTGCTCCTATTATACAGTTTATCACAAAAAGTCAGATCACGTGGTTACAAAGCAGATTACACCATTTGACATTGATATCATGTATTAATTAATCATCAACTAAAAACACCACGGTCTGTTGTATTTCGAGTTTTTCCAGCAGTCTTTGGTCGCCTTTTAGTAAAAAACACAAAGAAGAAATGGTCAGGAGCCGATTAATCGGCTCCTGAAATGGCAGAAGGCTTGTGCATGAGATGATGAACAATATATGTTGCGAGGGAACATCAAATCTATAACAAATTTATCACCAGTCTCGATTTTCATTTAGCGTAATATACAGAAATGCAAATGTAAAATGGTGAAAGTACAAAGTAATCTGCTCATTTGATTGCCACTTCACATCGTTACACAGACAGGGTCATGAGTTAGAATCACGCAACCAGATTTCAAAATTGACTTTCAAGGGAGAGGAAGGTTAGAGGAGTTGAGGGGGGGTGGGAGGGAGGGGCTGCATCAAAGATATTGTATAAATATTTATTTAAACATTGTCTTGTCTTGTCCTGTTCCCCTATTTTAAGCCTTAAATAGGTTTTGTAAACTATTTGATGATCGAAACTCTAAATACAGAATTTAGCTCAGAATCATTAATTTACGTCTCGTCGTCAAATGTCCTTATAAGAAGCTTTTAAAGCACGATCTTGTTACAGAAAAACAAAAGAATCAACGAAGACTATTCGAGTTCTTATAATGTTGTTATTAAACCACTCCTTTATGTTTTAGAAGAGACATCAAACCACAGATTTGAACATTGCGGAACATCAAAGTTGGGCCGCAAGTAAATTAGATTTGTCCTAAAATCGATTGATATTTGATTGAAAGGAAATGGCGTGGAAAAACATTTAATCGCTCGACGTTTTCAGCTGTCATTGTTTGTATGTGAGGGTCTCTCAAGGTTAACAAAACTGTTCATTGCAGACCTGATAGGATTTAATTAGGCACTTGAATAATTCAAACTCACTGGTTGATTGGAGTCAAACTAACGTTTGAAGGCGAACTTTGGTTTTAACCAGAAGACAGTAAAGACAAACACCTTTGAGAAGAGTGACTTGAAAACCTTTAAAACTGATTGCTATCTCATTTCAACAGGAGAAAAGTGCTCATTGCTTAATTAGAATTGCTTTCTTTGTTGGTCGTTGTTTTGCAATAACAAAGAAAACGGAATTGAAGAATTTATATAACAGCCCAATTTAATTTGATGCCAATGGCACTTTTATTTAACGCTTACCTACTTTTTGTTCATAATTTGGTGATTATTCTCTCAATGAAAGGTTTATGGTTCAGTACTTGGTAACTCATCCATAAGATGCAATTATACGTTCACCTCTTAATTAAAAATATCTGTGGCATAGCCGCGGCTTTAATTATAAAATCTAACAAAACCAAAACGATCACACAGATAAGAAAATAGATCTCAATTAAGTTAGGCCAGGTTTGTTTAATATCGTCGGCGAGCTTAACGCTGCGTTCACAAGAATGCAAATTTAGTTTATTTATTAAATGGCAATTTGATTTACACTGTACAACTCCAAAACCGTAAATGTCAGGAATGTTACGCGGTTTTTATTACATTGCCAAATACTAGATTTTTCACCAAAAGTCTGTAATATTCTTTAATCATTCTTCTGACAAAAACTATTCTTTATGTTATTTGATCCGAGATTAATTTGTTTTCATGAGCAATATGAGTACCTACACAGGCAATTTCTTCACCAAAGAATTCACACAAAGCAGAAGGGTCACCATCAGTTGACCACTGCGAAACCTTTGAGGGGTAGAAAGATAAACCTTTCGTGAAAGGCAGTAGGAAGAGCTCTGAAGATGCTCTTTACATTTTGAATTGAACGGATCTAATTAATTTTCCAGCTAAAATGTGTACTTAGAAAACACGTCAACGTTACAATACACATCCAGTGTATCATGATTTACCGTTATCGCGACTGGCGCGTTAAGGTGGATAAATGCTGAACATTTCAGGCCGCAGCGTCGAATAACCTCCAACAGAATGGCGGGGTGGAGAAGTGGCATATGCTGGTCGGTGATAGACGGTAAAGGGTGACGCCGGCTGAATAAAGCTAGATTGAGCCATTGAGTTGTTAAAGTAGTACTTAGGCCTTTGGTAAACTGGGTGTGAAGGGACTAAGTATCCCTGTGCTGCAAGAACGTATTCCGTTTCTGAGGCAAGCTTGCGTTTCCATTTGGTACGACGGTTTTGAAACCATATTTTGATCTGTGTCTCTGTTAGACTGAGCGACTTTGAAAGCTCCATTCTGCGCACAACACTAAGATACTTGCTCTTCTGGAATTCGCTTTCCAGAACTTTGATCTGCTCATTTGTGAAAGCAGTTCTTGGCCGCTTCTTTAAGTCTGGGGCTGGTTGTCGATCGCTGACAGTTTTTTGTACTTGGGAAGAAGATCCTAGAGAGACAATAGGGAGCCTTAGCTTTAGGCGGCTTTGAGTGCCTCTAAGCATTAAAGCATTTCTTACTGAATAAAATCTCTTTCCGTTTGTCGTTTTTATTCTCTTAAGTTTACAAACGAGAGAGCTTTGACATGTAGAAGTCTCACGTGATCTGTGCTTTGCTTTTCGTGATAAACTAATCGGGTTTTTCTTATTCTAGGTTTTAATTTCGTTTCTCGTTCTAGTCATGTTTCAAAATTGCACAATTTTCCTCCCGGCTATATAAATTTGCAGTTCACAGGGGTGGCGTTATGTTTGGCAAAACAAAATAACAGCCTAATGATTGTGAAATGAATAAAAGTGAATCTTTTTCAAAGGGCCAGCAAGCGGTAACCTTTATACACTGCTCTCGCGGGAGGACATCAAGTCACTCCTTTTCATTTCTTTGTCAATGTTTTCAAACTGCACGTGGTTTGCCTCTCAACAAGACCCTTAAGAGGCATGCTGAGGATATCAAAACTGTTCTTTTCTAATTAGGTGAAATTGTTTCTGCTTTCATGATTTTAATGATCACATCGACAAAGAAGTCTCTTAGCCTTCAGTGATAAGAGGTTAGGGAATGGGCTGAAGACACTATGAACGTACAACATACAATCAACTCCACTTATATGCCTAGTATCTAAAGTTATTTAATATTTTGAATCATTACTTAGTCTCTGAAAAGTAACGTGAAGGAAAATTTCTCAAGCAGATAAAGGCAACGTCACTGATCCATTGACTCCACAGAATATTAACACCGATCAAAGCAACTTAGAGCCAATTTCTGGCAGTATTTTTTTGTTACCTTGTACAAAACGTCTCTTCTTGTCTATGTCCACCGTTCCCTGGCCTTTGTGTATAACAGAACTTGCTTCACTTTCGGCAGAACCAATTTCCAGGGATGAGAGTTGATAACAGTTAACGTTCGCATTATCATATGAGCTTGTACTCAGGATTTCTTCGATTGAAAAGCTACCACATTTGGCTGCAACTGGACGCTGTTTTTCTTCCATCTCTCTGTTACTGTTTCTGCCTCCTCTTGTCCGATCTGACACAGGCAGCTACTTATCTACTTCTTTGAGGATGACAACATCAATGGCCGCGCGTGTAAGTATCAACCAATAACAAATGTCGCAATTGTTGAAATATTGTAATGAGTCACGGAAAAAAGAATCTGCGCTGAACAAAAGACAACAAAACGGGCTATTTGCTTTCGTTTATTTCGTTTATAAACAAAGTTTATAAATTCAAGAAGTTGCTCTCCTAGACAGCAGAGTAGACTTAACGCCTTAAAAGACATATGGAAGTTTAAATTGGACCTTAAATTGGACCGTTGTAATAAACATCAAACTCAACCTATTGAAACATCATAAAGTTATTTGATAAACTGCAATTAAAAAATTAAGTCCTTAAAGAAATGTTTGCTCTTATTTTGCTATTTAGAAGTCCCATAACTTGTATCGTTATTATAATTATTATCCTTGTTGCAAAGCACTGCATTGCTATTAAAGTAGCCTAAGGGAATTTTCTTTTTATCTTTCAAGAAAAAATATTACAAAAGGCTCGACGACCCGCTTGTGCAATAAAAATCACTGCAGGGAGTCTATCAACACAGGAGCGTTTATTCTCCTTGGCTCATTAAACGTAGGAGTATAGTTTGCATGCAGTGAAGGGCGAAAAAACACGTGTCAAAAATGGAACAAGTGAAATCCCTGATTCTATTGTCTACGTGAAGTTGTTTACGTTTTCTTAATGAGTGTTAATATCATACGGGTTTGAATTACGAGTGTGGTAATGGATAAGAAGGAAAACAAGTAAACAGATTTTCGGGAATGTACTGATTTTTAACTTTCTAGAAAGATAAATGGCTGGCATGCTCGGATTCAGAATCATACCCAAACGTTCAACTCATTTACTGACACTTTCAACCTAACATATAGAAGGCATATCTCAGCAGCATCGCGGCAAATACGACCGATTTCCAAAAATTTGTAGTAGTTCAACACCTTTCCTGCTGTTCTTTGCTTGACGGGTCGACTTGACTGTTTGTTAGTCAACAGCTAACTCGCAAAGTGTATAATGCTCTCCTTGTTACCTAATTAGTTTCTATTTATACTATAACGAAACTGCCTTTGGCTCTCTCCTATTGTTAATTGAATTGATGAAGATCTTTTCACTCGGGCGAAATGCAAACATAACTGATTTTTTCTGGTTTTCCCTTAGCCTTCACTGTAGGCGCACAATTTATATATATATATATGAGAATATACTTTATAAGAATATCGAGGCTGATATTTGCGAAATGTTAAGAATATGATATGGCAAGAATAAACTCAAGGCTGAGATTCTGAAAATCATACAATAGGAATGACATTATTCCTCTCTCTTTTTTAAGAATAATGCAAGAATATTTTCAGCCGGGTTTAGGAAAATAAGAAAAAAGAGTGTATTTGATTTTGAACACAAGGGGAGATTAGCAGTAAATGGAAGAAGGTCATCCAATATAGCCCGAGATCATTCGGGGGCTAGACTTTCAGAAACGCTCACAACGCTTTTTCTTGGTCCAATTTTTTTCCAGTTTACTGCTCAGGCCGTTCTTGTATTTTTCTGAAAGCATATAGCGCACCTATTTTGTCCATAAGTCGCATCGAGTTCAAATTAAAGAAGGTCAAACAGTTTGTTGTATGCCGGTCAACCCCTTGAAAGATCGCGGCCACGTTGCCTTAATTTAATAATTCATTTCCGTCATATACGTAGTAGAAGTGGATGAACAGTTTTAGACATAACGTTGTTGAGCGTTTTCATTCACGTGGACATAATCATCTATGCAAAATTATTGGAACTAAAGACAGCGTCTTCATAAGAAGAGAGTTCAACTCTCACAGGACTGGTTTGCAACACCAAGAGGGCCGCTGTTTCTTTATTTTGGAACACCATTACGGTCCATTACGGCCACTGTGACGTCATGTTAAAACTGTCTATAGTTCTTTATGAAACCAGCACTTTCTATGACAAAACTTTATCATGCAGATATATATATTTCATTTATGCCATTTAATTCCTCCCCTCCCCCTGGTTCAGTTTTTGCCCACTTGTTTGCCAATTTCTCGCGCGGCCAAAGCCAAAAATCCCGTTCCTCTGTCTTTCTTTGATCTGAAACCAAACGGAAACGCTTGCTACGCTGGCTAAATTTATTATTGCCGACTTAATTAAGATGGAATATCTCAGTATTACTGAAACTCTCCTGCAGTACACCCTTCTTGAAGTAAACCTAATTGGAAGAAAATCGAAGAACTCAGTGATTCGATCAAAAATGATTTGGAGGACAGTAGGCTGAATTACCTTTGTTTCTCTTCCAGAAAGTAAACAAAATCACTCGCTAATATTTTCATGCACGGACTTGATAACACCGTTATCGTATAGGGCGTATAGGGGGTGAAAATCATTAAAATAAAATGAATTATTTCCAAGTACTGTCAAAAGAGTTTTATAAAGTGCTTAAGGATCTTAAACCTCATTTAAATGCACAGCCGGGCTCATTCGAACACAATATTCCCTTGACTGAACAACACAAAGAAACGTTGGCATCAGGTCTCTAAACAAAAGATCCTTCGCCATTTTTTGCACTCATCCATTTACCGATTCAAACATAGCAGTCTGCTGTGATGATGGCGGAAATGGCGGCCATAACAATTAAGCAGCTGTTAACCCTGGCTTTTTATCCTGGCTACATGTTAATTAACAGGAAAACAGACTTATTGTCTATCAGTTTCTTGCTTCTCACCGTGCTTTGCTCTTCTCCCAAGGCATGCGCATACTGAGTGATAACTATGGAGTTAGAATACAAGCAAGTAGGGATCTCAGCGGGGCCAACTAATAGCCAGCTTACATCTAAGAAATTCTGTCCATCTGATTGGCACCCTAGTGTGCATATTTCGAGTTACTCTAAAGGTTAACGAATGAAAAGTTAAAAGTGTGATGTTTAGACTTCGCAATAAAATCTTTTGTTTACCTGCATTTCTACCTTAAGGCTACGATTTATTTTTTGCGGTTAAATTTTGCGAGTGGAAACTGCGGCGTACAGTATGTATTCTAATTTTGCCATTTTGTATAGATTTGGTTGAAAGAATAGGGAACATTTCGAGAGTACAAATTTTGAGATTTGCTGCTGTGGAACGGTTGCGATAACTCTTTGTGTGTCCTCTGTTCAGTTTGCCTTAGTCCCAGTGAAACGACATGCTGAAATTTACTTACAGTATCAGTAACAGTAGAATTTACCCACTACCATTAAGCTATAGCCTGCGAACGCAGAGGTATTTCCAGTCGACGCTTCTGGAAACACGTCTGCTTTAGTAGGCTAATCACACTACTGATTTTGACGATTCTGAACTGTATGTCTCCCTGTTTTTTTCATTTAATGCGTTTTTCCCTTTCGTTGGTTGTTAAAGTTTAAAATAAGAATCGTTATGTAACATTTCTCTTTTCTCGGTTGAAAGGATCTAAAAATATATTATTGCTAATGTAATTTCCGGTGGTTTGCTGGCCCTCCTGACATGACTGCCTTTTCCCCTTCACTATCTAAGCAGATGTTTTCTTTATCATTTGTTGACAAAGAAAACAACGTACCTGTACCAAGGAAAATGACCAATTGAATAAATGAATGCTGCATGGAGTTTTTTCTAAAAATAATTCAGTGTTAGACGCATAAATCGGCCTAGGTGTTTGACTTCTTTTAGCTTTCTTGCCAAGTTAATTGTTTTAGTACAGAGGCTACGGGCGAACAGCGTGTTTTTGCACGATCGCTATCAGTGAAGAACGTTGAAGCTCTATCAAAAAGGGAAAACTCAGTGATAGAAGCAGACAAGCAGTGACTATGAAAAAGCCAACATCAAATTACGCAATTCGATTTAAGTTACAAACTTTTGCTTTCAGATTTTTGTTCATAGCTGACAGTTCTTTGGTCTTAACCTTTTAAGTACTGAGGCGTTTGGTTTGTTCTTCCACGGTTCCAGCAAGAGTAGTTTTATAGATAAAATTAAAGGAGCAGCTCCCAAATGCGATCATCTAGGTTTCCTCAGAACCTCACTAGCTTTCTAAGCCATACTTTTGCATTAAACTCTGATTAAGGGCCATCTACAGTAAATAATATTGTAACTTCTCACTATCTGCTACAGTTGGCGAGCTGTTTGATGCACAGCAATGTTAAAGGGTTGCATAATTACACGAGATTCCGTAGAATCTAGTGTTGTAACATTGAGGGGATAGTTCTATGCAACGTTGGCCATATACATGCGTGTAGTTAAATTTAACACCTAATTGCAGTCCTAGCAAAATAATGGTTTTGAAATTTTCTGGAAAAAAAGTAAGAATGAGTTGCCATTGTCATGTGCACCGTCTTTAGCTTTAAGAGGCTAGGTCTTTGGGAAATCTTCGGCAAGGGTCTTTCACCTGCTAGTTAAATATGTTTCCATTTGCCTCAACTATATGTCTTAGCCCAGTTTAATTTAAATGTCGAACTTTACATGTGTTGAATCTAAAGCAAACAAACGAGACAAAAATATTTTTCTCTTTAGCATTAAATTCGGTAAATGTGAAATTCGACGTTGAAAGGAGGAGAATGTTGATGGCTGGCAGCAGAGCCTAGAGGTAACCTTGTTTCCTCAGGAAAAAATATTATTGAAATTTTTTTGTAGGTGTACAGTTTAGTATTTCTCATGCTACAACGCTTCTTTATCCTTAATTTCATCTTCAATTACTTAGTCGCATTTTGATATTATAAAATACTCTCCGAGAACTTGAATCCCTAATTTCATTCTTAACTAACCAGTTACACTTTGATATATAAAAAATAAATTTAAAGCATTACAGTCTTATTCCGTTCCGACGCAAATAAAAAAAAATATAGTAATTTTATTCCTGTGATCAAAGAAGCTTGGAAGCATACACTCAGTGAATCGCACTCGTTCTACATCAGAAGAAGCAAGTATCTGAGATTATCTCTAGCTGATGAAATGTTTGTCTTATATAATTTAAATATTATCTTAAACAGAGTACAAACAAATGCCATATCGCCGCCTTTTTAACTTGACTCATTTTCGTTTTCTTTCAATTTCAAGTATTTTCTATAACAAGAGATATTTTCTCAGCTTTTAAAAACTCCTTTTACCATACCGGCCTCCATAACACGAAAAGGTTCCGTATTTGTTAAACATCAAATATGAAAAAAATTGCCAGAAATTGTATTTGAACAGGTTCTTTCGCCGTTATATTGGCGACACTCAACTTTTACTAACAAAGAAAAAACTCCTCTCATAGTTATAAGTTAACATCATGTGAACGTTAAAAATAGTAGCCATTAATCAACTAACGATTCACCCGAATTCGGTTTTCAAGAGCCATAATACTAAAATGAGCCTTTGCAATCATAAAATAGTTTTCAGCAGTAATATGCATTTCCACCGAACATTTGCTCAGACATTCCAGATGTTCTTACGTTTCAGTGTTTAACAAAAGTTTTTCGAATAATAGATGTTTGACCGAGCGTATTCTCTTGCATCTACTTTTCAAACTCTTGCACATATGTGCTAAGTGTAACTAGGTAAACTTCTATTCGCCCACACCAAGCGACTTGTATACTCAGGCAGTGCTTAGATGCTGAGGTATAGACGTGGTTAAGTATATATAGAGTTTATTCAACAGCACTTTGTACGTTGAGTACAGGTTCACTATCCGCCATGAAGTGTTTAGTAGCTTTCTGTGTTCTGGGTGTTGCAGTTTTGGCAGGTTTCACCCAAGGTGAATGCTTTCACAATACAAGTAACTATATTTTTATTCTAGTTATAGCGTCAAGGAAGGTAAAACTCTTTAATAGTCTTAAATTTTGCCAACGTACTGCTATCAAAAAATTGATTCAGCAAAGAATTCATTATTTTCCTGTAGAACTATCTTTTCATTTGTCGTTGACTCTAATTAAAACCTCCTTTTCAACGTTTTTAAAAACGTTTTTTGTAAGATGGCATTTTTTTGCTATTCCTTTTTCCTTTTTTTACGCTATTCGTTCAATTTTTTTTCGCTATTCATTTTCATTTTTTGCACTCTTCATTTTGGTAATTCTTCGCAATTCATTTACTTTTTTTGGGCACCAACCTCCTTTTCAACGTTTTTAAAAACGTTTTTTGTAAGATGGCATTTTTTTGCTATTCCTTTTTCCTTTTTTTACGCTATTCGTTCAATTTTTTTTCGCTATTCATTTTCATTTTTTGCTCTCTTCATTTTGGTAATTCTTCGCAATTCATTTACTTTTTTTGGGCACCACCCTTGGTAGCAAGGGTAGTGCAGTGTGGAGAGCATGCGCGATCCCCTCCCACCAATGTCGGCCCGGGTTCAAAGGGAAGGAAGTTGTTGTTTTACTCACGGTTTCCTTTGTGTTTTACCGATTCAGGTTGTGAAGATCTTAATGCAAACTGTCCCTACTGGGAAGGTAAGGGATACTGTAAAAAGGACTATGTTGCTTACATGACGAAAAACTGTAAGAAGAGCTGTGGCTTATGTGGTGGTGGCAACAGTGGCGGGAACTCCGGCGGCGGAAATAGCGGAGGATCCGGTCAGTGCGGATATAAACCGACTAGCAGAATTGTCGGTGGTACCGCGGCTCCCAAAGGTGCTTGGCCTTGGCAGGTTCAGCTACGAACTTCTAATGGTTTCGTTTTCTGTGGGGGAACTTTAGTCGCCCCTCAGTGGATTGTTACTGCAGCTCATTGTGTTCCAGGCAGAACCCCATCTACACTTTTTATTAGGTAAGGATGTTACTGGAAATGAAAACGGGGCAAGTAAATGCACAGTCAGCGAAAAAAAAATGATAATAAAGTATTTCACTCACTTTCCATTGTAATACAGACAGAATTTCTAAAACTGCAACTTTAAAAACAATGAATTTTATCAATATAAAGCAATATGAAATTCTGTGCTTTCCACCTAAAAAGGCTTATCAATAATGATAGCTGGTCAATATGGCAGAATTACAAAAATCTGTGATGTTGTCTTAAAAATATTAGATATTAATCAATAACCGGAATAACTACATCGATAACACAAGAATGCTAAATTTTATTCTTTGGTTAAAAGCCTTATGTAAATTAGTTAAAAGGCAATAAATTCGTATAGGTAATAGCATGATTTGTAGTGATATTTGGCTTAAATACCACGAGTGATATTTCGAAATTGTTATACGTATGTACATTGTTATAGACGAGAGAAGTCTGAGACAATTTTGAAATATCACGAGTGGTATTTATGCCAAATATCACGTACAAATCATGCTATTATTTGTTTATACTACTACCCGCAATACTTTTGTAATTTTCACATGTAGCTATTTTTTAAATTAAGCTGAAATACCACTGCTCTAAGCCAATCAAATTGCAGGAATTTCTCATGTAGTAGTATAACAGCTGAAATAATTAAAGGTCAATTTTTGGAGCAAATATGTTAACTTAATTTACTCGAAACGTTGGGAACAGAATTGTTTCTAGTTCCATTTTTCATTTTTTGACAGGACCATTTGTCATCAAAGCCTTTGTGAGCGTTTCTAATTTTCGAGAGTATTTTTCATGTTTATTTTGAACTTTTAATTTACAGACTTGGAGCTCACTATCGTAGCAGCAATGTTGGAACAGAACAGGATATCCCAGTGGAGAAAATCATCTCTCATCACAGCTACAGAAAGCCATATGGAATGGCCCACGATATTGCTATGGTCAAGCTATCGAGGCCCGCTACGCTTAACAAAGCCGTTAACATAGCGTGTTTGCCTGGTTCCGGAGGAGATGTTGCAGATGGCAAGATGTGCTGGGTAACAGGTAGGAGAAATGAAAAACTGAAATGATCAAAACTTCCTAAACATTCCATGAGCTTACAGCTCAACTGGATCTACATGGAAGTGCGAAGAAACTGAGTGCATAACGGGTACATTTATTTTAACTGAAAAGCCAGAGGAGGGATTTCAATTGCGCCTCAGTCAAATATAAGGTGCTATGGCTGAAGCAGTGGAATTTTAACTACGAGGAAAATGTTTTGTTTAAAGAATCTTCATGATCATGCATCACTCTTGAGGAATAGCCCACTAACCATTTGCACATTAGTTTATCAGTTTCTATGGCGGAACTGTCGAGTTTTACTCTCTATTAAATAAAGACTCCACTCCACATCCCCCATAATACACCTTGTTTGACTTGTTTGCCCCTTCCACATTTTGCTTAAGGGATTGTCTTCAATTTCTCTCGGGACGACTTTAATTCCCAGGGGAAATTAAAAAGAAAGCTTATAAAACATTTGAAGGGCAAATAAAGTGTCATGTATGCAGGGTGAAGGTTACGGAATTCAGAGCTCGTCTAGATAGCTTTCAGTAGAACATACTAGTTTTTTCTGTGATTATTTAAAGGAATCCTTTATACGTTGTAAGTAAATGGGGGAGGCTTCTTAACCCAAAAAAAGCACCGGAGCTAAACTGCAATTTCTTTGTTGTGTCAGTTCGAAAATGTGCTGAGTATATGCAAAATGTTGAGAAGTTCTGCATAACAATGCGTAGTTCACGCAAAGAACAGAAGCGAGTTTTACATTAAGCATGGCCCAAAATGGCACTTATTAACAATATAAAGATGTTTAGTTTTTAACGGAGGCCTATGGCCAACTGACTACTTTACATGCAATAGTTCACTGACGATGTGACACATTGTTGCGCTAATAGAGCTATGGAAAGACTGAAAGATAGCCATTTGATAACGAACGTAAAATCCTTGAAGCCCGCCAGCGCACATTCTCTAAACAGAATAAGAAGCCCGGCTCTGTTACTACTGAAACAACTCAATAATCCTCTGACAAAAATCACTACTTCTCAGGTATAGGAAAAATCAAAGTTCAACCTTACCAATTTGTAATTCCGTATCCGGAAAGAAAAAGTTGCGGATTCAAAATATCCGGATACGTGTAGACGTAATGTGGACGTGGCCTTTGTTCCACAATGGAGCATTTTAGCTTGCGTTCTTTGTTTCAATTTCAGACCACGTGATTTTTCCCCAGAGACCTGTCTTTTTTCGTCGAATTTTTCCCTATCCACGTGCATATGTTTGCGTAATTTATGAAAAGGCAGAAAGCAAATTTTAGGGCCTGTTTACATGGAGTGGGGGACCCCGGTCTAGTGGGGTTGGTTTCTCTTGTTTTCACGCTCTGGGGGACACAAAACAAAAGAAACTTACCCCACTAGACCGGGGTCCCCCACTCCATGTAAACAGGGTCTAAATGAGGAAATCAGGCGGTCTGAATTGAAAAAACAATACAAACAATCTTGATTCATCAGCACCAACCTTTAATATTTTTTTGGATGCCGTTGCTCTGAGTTTCTGAATCGAACACGCTCTTAAAGCAGGTATACATGTTTATCAACCAACACAAACAGAAATGCAGTTCTCATTAAAGCTGTTCAAAAATACTTGCACAAAGGAAACGATGCGCTCTTATGAGGACTGCATTTCAGAGAGCACATTTCTTCTCGTGTCTTCTTCTTGTTTAAGTGTAACTTAATTTGGGAACATTTCATTTCATGAAAACAACTTGTTGTGCCTTGATGCTATGCCAGCCGTCTAGTACTCACGTGAAGTAAAATTTAATGTAAGAAGAGGAACATCTCATGGTTTCAAAAACCCTTATTTTTAAAATGAAGCTAAATGAAAGAGATTTCATGCAATAAGTGTGTTTATTGCACAAAAATGAAGAAAAAAAACAAACAAAAAACACAATGACTCTCATATCAGAGATTACCCTTATCTTCCTTTTGAGACGGTAGTTAGGGGTAACTTAAAAGAAATCAATTATATTGTGAGTGTCATGGTTATGTTTAATTAGCATAATTTAACATACATTAGTGTTGCGCATGCTTATGTGAGATCATTGATGCTTGCATTACGCTTGTTTAACTCGCACCTTGCAAAAAGAGACGAAAATAGGGAAAAGAAACAAGCGCAGAGCAATTATGGTACTAATTGTGACCTTGTGTTAATTTAGGGTTTGGAAGACTGGCCTCGGGTGGCGCTATGCCTACCGCCCTGATGCAAGTTTCTGTGCCAGTTGTGTCAGAAGCCAGCTGCAGACAAGCTTACGGTTCATCTATCCATGACTCCATGGTCTGCGCTGGGTTAAAGGAGGGTGGAAAGGATTCCTGTCAGGGAGACTCTGGGGGACCTATGGTCTGTGAACAAAACGGAAAATTCTTCCTTGAGGGTGTTGTGTCATGGGGAGTTGGTTGTGCCAGTCCAGGAAAATATGGCGTTTATTCTAATGTACGCTACTTGAAGCAATGGATCGATAGTACCATGAACAGCAACTAGACTGTCAGAAAATCACATGTAATTTCATGACATAGAGAAGCAAATTAAAAACAATAATTCTTCAACTTTCGTGTATTTTTTCTAAGCTTCCTCCATTTAAAATCCTGCCTGATCAGTCTAATTAGTTTCTTGCTGAACGTATAAATAATAATAATAATAATAATAATAATTATTATTATTATTATCCTTTAATTCAAGCCGCAGTTCTTTCTCTCTCATTAAGTCCAATTTCGTATCGAAAAATACGGTTACTTTCAAATGAAGATTAATTTTCCCCCTTTCTTATGAAGTGAAAACAATCGAAAGTCGATTATCGGCCAATTACCTACAACGCTCGATTTGATATCACTCGTTTCACTTTAACAATATCACATAGCAAACATTCCACTTGACAAAAGGTATATACTTCATCTTTTTGTACTGAATAAGACACAGACATGCATCGCTAAGCAGACTAGAAAGAGACTAAGGGCCTTGGTTCGTTCTTGGTGGATTATTCCCCAGATTACTATTTGCTCAGCTTTTAAACTTCACTTTAACACGCCACCGATACATAAGGCAACTGATGAAATTTCCCAATAATCAATTAAATTTTGGTTAAAAGTTGCAACTGAATGAAAACAGAATATGACTTTTATTGCGATTTGTATCACCGACAGGAGCCGATTACCTGTTATCGGCTGCTGTTAGTGATCAAGAGAAAAATTTGGCACAGTTTTTTTAAAATCTTGGATAAAAATGAGATATAAAAGCTATTATATAACTTTTATGTTGTTAAACTGAATTCAGTAGTAACAATAACTATTACAAATCGATAAAATTAAATCAATAACCATTACATTGTTAAAACTTCGGCGATCATTGATCAGCTGAATTTGTTCAGATTTTCAATTTTATCTAGCGGGGTTTCAAGTTCAATATTAATGAAAAAGAAAAGTGTTTACACTTACGCTTTTAAAATTTTACAGCAATTACTGACTTTTAGGTGGTGGAACAGTGAAAAATGTAACAACAGATGATTCTGTTGAAGGGGCAAAGAAACAACTGGGTTGTCTTTGCTGCCTCAAAAGTACCATAAACCACTTCTGCATCAGTCACAATGATAAACAGTCAAAATATTGAGACAGCGCTTAAAACCGATGTTCAAAGCAATCTTTTTGTTGAATATAGAACTGAAAATTTTCAAAGTGTAAACACAAAAGCAATTGTCTAAAACGCTATTTACTCAGCCTCAGTGTTTTATATTGAAATTTTCTCAACTAACATTTAGCAATTGCATCAAAAATAAGAACACAACAATAAAAAATTAGGTTTTTATATCCTAATGACGGGAAACGAAAGTCGTCTGGGAAGTTTGAAGAGAAGTTCATAAATTCAAAATAACTTTGCCTTGTCCAAATATGACTTATTAAGAAACTATCTCAAAAGTGATTACAGAAGATCTAATCGTTTGGTTTAATTAACCCAGCATCTCAGTTAAAGTGTGTAAATTTCATCTTAGCAAATGTATGCGTTTTGTTTGCACACTGGTTCTTGGTGGTTATTAGTGTTGACAGACCCGTCTATAGAAAATAAAAATTAATCAAGGACTTGGATGACTTTGCTTGTTCAGGCAATCTGCATTGACTCATTTCCTAGGCATATAAGAAGCTGCATGTGTTTCTGCAGGCTAGATACCTGGTTCACACAGCATTAAGCTGGACAGAGTTCATCATGAAAGTTTCAGCGATTTTCTGGGTCTTCTGTGCAACTCTCCTCGCCAGTTACGGGGATGGTAATTGTCCTTTTAAAACAATATTTTTATTTTCAATCATTTATCTAAATATTTAGTCTCTTAAAAGAGCAATGGAAAGTAGCTGTGATCGGGGTGAAACCCGTCAAAGAAGGCAATCCTATAAAAAACAAACTTTAAAAATCGATAAAGATATATAGAAACTGAACATAAAAGAAAGTATGATGACCGAAAATATTTTCGTATCGAAAAAGAATCGTTCCGTTACTGATGCAATATTCCTTTTCGTCTCATTAGAACGTGAATGTTTTGTTTCTTTCTTTTAAAACTATTATTACGGAAAATTAAAAAATATTACCTATTTATTTCTTATATATATTTAAGTATCCGGCATGTACGGTGAAAAGAATTTCAACGTCGAATTATATTTATTACACTACTACATGAGAAATTTCTGCAATTTGATTGGCTTATAGCAGTGGTATTTCAGCCTAATTTGAAATATCTACATGTGAAAATTACAAAACTATTGCGGGTAGTGGTATAAACAAATAATAGCATGGTTTGTAGTGATATTTGGCATAAATGCTACTCGTGATATTTCAAAATTGTCTCAAATTTCAATCGCCTAACGGCTCGTGAAATTACGTATAACAATTTCGAAATATCACTCGTGGTATTTATGTCAAATATCACTACAAATCATGCTATTACCTATACAAATTTGGAAAAGTACTTCTATCTCATTTAATAGCCTAATTTATCATTGCACACGTGTACAGGACGGCGTTGTGGCTATAAACCTAACGTACGAATTGTGGGAGGTACGGAAGCGCCACAAGGGGCTTGGCCGTGGCAAGCACAATTGAGGGCCATATATACAAGCTCGGATGAGCAGTACTGTGGAGGAACGTTGGTTGCTCCACAATGGCTTGTCACTGCCGCACATTGTGTGACCGGTATGAAGCCCTCAGACTTCAAAGTGAGGTAAGATGTACAGTCCAGTATTATCGCGTATTAAGAGATTCATTTTAGTTTATTTATTTCATTTCTTTTTATGCGAGAGCTTATGAATCGTGATGTTTTCATTTGTTATCTGATTTTTTTATCTATTGTGTACATTTATCTATTTTGTAGTTAGCGTCTAGTTTTAATGTCAATTTCTTGTGATTATTTTTACTTAGTTTTATCTAATTGTTGTAAACAGCGCCTTTGAATCTTGTAGAAAAGGCGCTATATAAATGGATTATTATTATTATTATTATTATTTATTGTTTATAGATACAGCTAATGCTCGAATTAGCGCCAGGGGAGCGCGGTGTCGAAAAAAGGTTGCCGATAGGGGATGTGGGAGCACTGACTTCGTTTTTCGGAGTTCGGAGCCTAAAAAAACATTGTCTTATTCCAAATAAACTCAGGCTGTGGCAAAAGAATAACGTATCCTTAAAGCGAAACAATTTTTTATGTGACCACCCTCAAAGTGCTGTTTCCTTTGAGGTCCTCTTTGTGTTGTATTGAAATGATACTGATCTACGTAGATACTATTCATTCAGTATTTTTCCTTTCTATGGTGACAGTTTGGGGTGGGGCACTTATTCGAAGGAGGGAGCTTATTTGAAGGTGCGTGCAAAATCGAGAATTTACAGGAATAGACCTTTGGAGACGACATGGTAGATTGATTAGTACATTCTAGAAAATCATGTGCGATGCATTAGACTTTCGATAAAACCGTAGAACAGTGTTTTAAAACTTTCTCACAAAGGATTTAAAATGTTTTCCCAGCAAAAAGGTTCGTCAATAATCTTCAGTAAGACGATACGTTTGATGCCTAATTTCAAACTTACAACAGGGCTAAAAAACCGAAGAGAATTAAGCTATAAAATAAAATTAAAATATATCTTTAGCTTAATTTCTCTTCTTGAATTTAATTCTGTAGACTTGGAGCTCATTTACGCAATGGCTTTGTAGGAACGGAGCAGGATTTTGAAGTGGCAAAAATCATATCTCATGACAGCCATCACGTTCCTGTTGCAAATGCTTATGATATCGCCATGGTAAAACTTAAGAGGCCTGCAAGATTAGACAGAGCTGTTAATCTGGCATGTTTACCGCAGTCAGGAGGAAGAGTCAAAAATCGGAAGATGTGTTGGGTAACAGGTATGCTTGAGGAAAAGAATATTAAGGCTGGCTGGGGAGAGATTATTGTAAAATCTGTCAGCGAAATTATTTTCGGCTTTGCCGCAAGATTTCACAAAGGGTTTGGTTTCTTTTACTGAGTTTTGTACTTAAGCTCGTTTTAGAGTGTTGTATACTATAAATTTAAAGTTTTTTGGCTGTTAAGTTTTTTTTGACGTTTGTATAATGGCACCCTTATCATACTAGGGTTCGGAAAGCTGTCATCAGGTGGGCCATACGCTACTGCCCTTATGCAAGTCGAAGTTCCGATTGTATCAGATAACAAATGTGCTGCCAGTTATGGTTCAGGCCTTCATGAATCCATGATTTGCGCTGGATATAAAGAGGGAGGAAAGGATTCCTGCCAAGCAGATTCAGGTGGACCACTTGTCTGTGAGAGAAATGGACAGTTTGTTCTCGAGGGCGTGGTATCGTGGGGTCACGGATGTGCCTGGCCTAAGAAATATGGGGTCTACGCTAATGTGCGCTTCTTAAAGCAATGGATTGATGATACCATGAAAAATAATTAACATACCCAAGTGTACATGAGTACATGGGTTATTGGATAATAAAGAAATAATAAAAAAATTAAATTATTGATTTGTGTTTCTGAATGTCCATGCAGGCTTTTAACCCTTTTTATATTCAAAAATAGTGCTCAGTGCTGAACGTAAACATCAAATCCTCAAATTAAAACGAGCTAGTGCTACAGGTAGATCGGCTTCAAACAACCTTGCACGAAGGCTACAAGCAAATCCCATAAAACTGTTCCTTCTATTTTAAGGGAAAATTTTATATGACTAGCCTGTGTACAGGCGTCCCTCCTCCCTCTCCCGATGTTTCCTTGATCATGAGGGAGGGAGACGTCTGTACACAGGCTATATGACAGATAACATGAACATTACGAGATATGCTGTTGCAGTCGGTCCTGTAATGTCATACTTCATCATTTATTCATTGATCGAATGCCACCAATAGCAAACAAAATATTTAATATGTGTTGTTTAATTTTGGAGACATACAGTCCTTCAGGCCAGGTTTATATATATTTCCTGGTCGCTCAATTTCACAGATTTGAAGAAATAAAAGCTAGAAGCATAAACTGCCATTTACGCGCAGTAGCCACTTAGAGAACTGCTAAATAGTGGAACAGCTTTAACTGAGACTCTGGCATCCAGGAGCATTTTGCCCAGAAAAAAGCCGTATGAAGCAAATTAAGCTGTTTTCAGTTCCTACCCAAAAAGAACCAAAAATATTCAAAACGTTGTTTACAAGGCGAGCTCTATGCATGCGTTTATTTCTGATGGCAAAGAACGGACTCCGAAGCTCTGCATGCGCAGAAGGCCAAATTTCGCTCCCATCCCTGAAATGTTTCTGCGGTAGGCAAACATACTCGATTTTGGAGTTGGGTGGAATGTTAATGGCAAAGTAAAGTAATGAAAAGCAAAACTTTATTTAGGGTAACCCATTCAGCTCTAGGGGCTGGTCTCCATAGTAACCTTGTATCTTAAAAATTAATTCACATTCAGAATTATTATAAAATATTACATTTCAAAGCCTAAAATATAATAAAAATTTCAAGTCATGATAGAAGAAATTTCTTGCTCGGCGGCAGAGCGTCTGAATCTTATCACTCTTAACGATGTCTAAAACGAGTTTATAAAAACATTTTGCATCAGTAAATAGAAAGGTCCTTTCCCCAAGATTCTGCTTAACTTTTGGTAGAGATAGCCCCATACTTTGCCATGTGGAATAATTGTAAATGTTCGAAAATCTAGTAAAATATAATGAAAAATAACTAGGAACAAATGAGTGAAGACAGAGAAAATCGAGTTTAGCCTTGTGGTAAGAGCGTCCACTGGAAAGAGTCGGCCAGTGCAGCTGCTCCATTGCCTCAGATGAGCGTGTGCAACGTGAGATTATCAGGGCAGATCTTAGCCTGGAACCAGGCTCCGCATTGAGGGAAAAAGAAAAAAAATCGGCGTAGGCCCAAAAAAAAAAAATTGGCGAGCAAAGCGAGCCGAGAGGTAGTCTGGGGAGCTTTCCCCATCCCCAGGCTATCGCTGGGCTCGCTTCGCTTGCCGATACTTTTCCTATTTGACCCCGTTTTTTGCCTTTTTCCCGGAGCCTGGTCCCAGCCTAGGCAGATATATTCTGTAAGCGCTGTAGTCTATCCATGTCTTGTTGTAGAAGGTTACTCCAGGCGATGTCACAATGATCAAATAATGAAAGAATTAAAGTGTTGTGAACAAGTGTTGCTGCCTCTTTTGTGACGAAACTTCTAACACAGACCACATCCAAGTTTAGCCGTTTAAAAAGAGAAAAGAGTCATTTTAAAGTTTTTTTTTTGAAAAGATTTAGTGCCGTTTAGGTTATTTATCGAATTTCGTAATTCATCCTTTCTGTGCTTTATTCCTTGGCGTTAATATCATAGAGCTTACCCAACGAGAAAGGTGACAGCAGAGAAAATTTCACGTATAATCAGATGAAGTGATTTCGCGTTCTTTTCTTTTAGAAATTTGGACTAATTATCGTGGAGTTGAATAGTTAAGGGCTGCAGCATTCGAGTTTTAAACTTGAATGGGGAAAAACCCTTTAAGCCCCAGTATCCACATACAAATTCTCCAAACTGATCTCCATACATTTCCTTAAAGAATGAGTTGAGTGAATTTGATAAAAGATCAAGGTGTTTTTACTTGGGTGATCATTTTATTAGTTCTCATAACTTATCTGTTGACATTGTATGGATATTGTCAGGAGAAAATTGATCTTGGTCACTATTGGGACTTAAAGGGTTAAAAAGAGGGAGTCGTCGTGGTGGATATAGATCCTCATCGAACGTCATAGATTTACAGTGAAGGAGGTTTCAGTTGTTCAAGAGTCCTTAAAGTCATTTTGTGCCAAATAGATGAGTGGAAAGCCGAATCCTTTTATTCCTTGGAAAGGGGTATTGTTTCCCTGGAATACACAACCTTACAAAAAGAAAAGAAAAAAGAAGAGAAAATGTTTGGGGAGTTGTCTCCAAGCGTTAAAAAACAGCGAATCTTCAACTGACACAAATGAGGACCACCGTTTTTTTGAAAGGTTAAAATTTTCATTTCCGCCTTCTTATTAGAGTATAGAATCCGAGCCAAGTTTACAATAACTGATACACATCGATAAAATAGTCAAACATAAACTGCATTTTTCTGCTCTTTTATTTACTCCCTTTCGACTTTGTACCAAGGAGTTGGTTTCTTAAAATCAGCTCATTGTACCATCAATCCACTTCCTCAGGTAACGAACTCTGGCGTAGACGCCATATTTGCCTGGGGCGGCACATCCATGTCCCCATGACACAACACCCTCGAGGTAGTACTTTCCACCTGACTCGCAAACCATGGGACCACCAGAGTCCCCCTGACAGGAATCCTTGCCACCCTTTCTTAGACCAGCACACACCATGGAGTCATGAATGGATGAGCCATAAGCATTTTTACAGGCACTTTGGGAGACCACGGGCACAGAAACCTGTTGGAGAACGTCTGGGGACGAACCACCTGAGGACAGTCTTCCAAATCCTGAAGGTCCAAGAAAAAGAAAGAAGAAAGAAGGATATGTCGTGGACGATAGAACAACGGGCGTGTCCTATTTTAAATGATATATCAGCCGTAAATTTAGACGTCAACATACGAGGGTGCGACTGGCAGCATCTATCGGACCATTTACGAGCTTATTCTGGCCGTCATATGAATGATGTGTGTAAGGAAGAGTATTAAGAGCTAAATACCAAAAAAAGTAACTGAAAGTTATGACATTCAAGACTTGATTATGATATAGGGGGAATTAAGAATTGCCTGACTTTTTCCCTCTATGGTTAAACCTGAGAGAAATTCACATCGGTTTATACCTGTTACCCAGCACATCTTGCCGTCTGAGACAGTACCGCTTGATCCTGGTAAACACGCCAGGTTAACAGCTTTGTTAATTTTAGCAGGTCCTCGGAGTTTGATCAATGCGATATCATGCGCCAATCCATAAGGTCGCCTGTAGCTGGGATGAGAAATGATTCTTTCCACGTCTAAATCCTGCTCTGTTCCAGCGCTGTCATCAGTGCGATAGTGAGCACCAAGTCTAGAAAATTGAAGAACTTTCTTCTAAAAATCAAATTATATTCTTCAAATAGGCATTTTTAATCACAGGGGGAAAATGTCACGAGGTTGTCGCAGTTAAACTCTGGCAACTAAGAACAAAACGGACCGTTTATAACTGGGACGATGGATGCATTAGTCGATTGATCAACCACTTGATTAAAACTCGTCTGATGACGATTAACTTCCATGCTTCCGAGTTAACTGCTTAACATTGATTTCCCTTTGTAATTGCTTTGATCATATTACTTGGTGTGTATGCTCATGTATTGATTATAAATTAAGCTATATTTCTTTTCTTAATATGATCTCACCTGACACTAATGTCTGATGGAGATTTATTAGGTACGCAATGAGCAGCTGTGATAACCCACTGTGGTGCAACTAAAGTTCCTCCACAGAAAGGAAAACCTGACTTAGTTCTTATCTGTGCTTGCCACGGCCAAGCTCCTTGAGGGGCCTCGGTACCACCGACAATTCGAGCGCGAGGTTTAATTCCACATTGTCCCGAGCCACCGCCTCCACCGCCTCCACCGCCAGTACAGTAACCACAGCTTTTCTGACAGTTACTCTTCATGTATTTTTCATATTTTCCCTTACAGTATCCTCGTTGTTTCCAGTAAGGACACCTTCCATTCTTGTCTTCACAACCTAAATTATCAACCAAATGCTCTTTAAATGTGAAAAAAAAAAAAAAACAAAAACAAAAAAACAAGCGAACTCGGCTCATTTCCTCATTTGAAGGATTTCAATCAAAAAAGAACAAGGGGGATGGAAATGGAATTCGTGGACTAAAAAATTAAGATAGCAAGCAAAACTACAATAACTTTGGACAGGGTGAACTATTTAGAAAAGAAAATGCACGGTTTAATTAGGATATTCAGTATTCACAGTAAATCTTGGCGGCTAGCAGAGTCTTCGTGGCTTCCGTAAAGATTTCGAACGAACTGTTTCCGCGCTTGAAAATCACAGTAATAAACAACTTACGTCACTTCGGACGAGATTCGAAAGAAGAATGACTTTTGTTGCCTGAAAAGAGACTTAAATGCTTTCTCCTGTTAGTCGCGAAGTTCTGAACTTCGTTCACACCGATTCTGGCAACCTCATTTCAAATTTCTATATATATAGGGTAATCATTGCAATGTAAATGCTGAATTCGTACAATTTAACTTCCAATTTTCTTACAAACCTCCTCGTCAAAGTTCTGTGAAAACCTAGTTTTGCCCAGATTGTCCCATGAGCCGGAAAGCAAACGTTTCTAGAGCATCACGGTCATCATTGTAGCTATGCTCCAAGCGCGCTTCATCACGTTTTTCCAAGTTTAGTTGTCAAAAAACTTACACATCATATAATCAACTTTACTCGCAAGCTTAAGAGTAATCGAGACACAAAGCGTGTTACTACGTACGTTACCCGTACCTTAACCCCGAGATGTTAGTTCGTGCACGAGTGATAACCTTAAAATGGCTTTGGGACCCTAAATAAGCTAATTATATTCTCCTTTCTGTTACAGGACTTAAGTATAAAAGCAATCTTAAAGTTAAATTTAAAATTAAGTGACTGAAAAAGTGAAAAATAAAAGTAATTACCATTTGTCAGACTTGCCAAGGCAGCAAGGCTCAACACACAGACGACCAGTACTGACTGCATGATAAAATGCTTTATACAAAGCGGTTTGCAAGCCTCTGAGTTTTCACGCCTTTTATGCACAAGAGCCATTAAAATTGCGAACCTGAATAACCACAGATGGAAAATCCAGTAAATAGAGGCTTGCGTAGTCATCACAATATGTCAGAAAATAATTTCTCGAGATGGGCCCTTAGAATTTGGTTAAATAATAGCTTTTGGGCTGTCATTTATTTGGATATGATTGCATTTGTCAGTGGTGATATTTGTTGTTAGATCTACGACCTACCCAGGATATTTGCACAACCTGGGTAAATCATACATTATGTGTTTTCACGCAATTTAAACTGGATAACTCAGTGAAATTATCACCAACAGTTATAACGTTACCAGCATTTTATTATACCTCAGAGGTGTTATAGAATGCAAAAAACGGCGTTGGTAGATAGTACAGGCTTTTATTGTCTATATGCTAAATATAATTCAGAGAGTCTCTTTCATACTGATATGAATATGTGAATACCCAGTGGTTTAATACCCAGTTGTTTTCCGTAGACATTTCTACAAAACTGAATAAACATCTAAAAACGGCTAAATTGTATGATCAAACTATCAAATATTTTCTTTTTTCTTCCTCTTTCTTTATGAAAAACCAAAAAAGCTCTTATGCATACGTTTTAGCTGTCATTATCATTTTCGTTTTTATTTTTGAGAGGAGATTTTGATACAGGCGGAAAATAAGCTATGTACTCTTATTTATTATTTTTGCTACTGTCTCTTAGTGCCTGTGTTCATACGAACGATTTTATCGCGGGGCGAGTTCCATCCCGAGGCAAGTTTCGTCTAGGGGGGCTTTCCATTTGTCAGAACTAACCGGCCTGACCATTCCAGTCATAACGAGAATTTCACTTTTAATCAAAACTATCCAGCCAGATCAGTCAAATCCTTAATAGTATGCACGAAGGAGATGGTGTTTCAGCAAAAACTCTTGGAAAAAAGCACATTTTTCATTGTCAAAATGACTGGTCCGGCTATGGTCCGGCCGGCTAGTTCTGACTTTTGGAAAGCGCCCTTGGTGTCTGGTTAAAATTTGTCTGTAGATAAAAAAAATCAAGGGATAAATCTTGCACAGAAAGACCTATTTTCAACCCACATCTTACAGAAACCATAACCAATATTTCAAGTGTCCGGATAGTACAGTAAAAATGAACAATGAAAAAGAGACAAAATTCATATCTAAATGGAGTCATTCTCGTAGACAGGCCCTAACATGAAGTCATAATTTTTCAGTCGAAGGATGCGAATATGAAAACAGGATTTCGAAGAATTGAAATTATCCCCCGTTCTGACTATTACTCCTAAGACTATCTTCAAACGATAATTTACACCTGCAAGACTGTGTAAACTTAACAAATTACGCTTTCAAAATTATATTTGCTATCAAATTCAATGCATCGCATATTAAAATTAAACTTAGCTTTCAAAAGGAAAACAGAGGAACATATTAAATAAACCTTGATTCAAAACTGGTTTGAAATTCAATTGTGTGCCCTTTGGGTTTCTTAAAATTAGTCTGCAATTTTCACGGCTAAGCTGCTTCCTTTGTTCTCAGTTTAAAATAAAACATTGTGAAGAATTTGTTTCACTTCGGAAGAAGTTCATCGTTTTATTGCGACAATATATTTGCGCTCTAAGTAAGCGCAGTGGTGGTGATTTAGCAAGTTTATGCCCCCACCCGAACAAATATAAAGTCCTGATCAACTTTAAGGATTAGGTTTCACAACTACTACCTAGCAACAGCCTGTATCTTGCATATAACGCTAGAATTTGAATTTTACGGGTAATTCCACAGGTAGCCCAAGCTCGAAATATGAGCATCTGCGAGCATCGGCATTGTTGCGTAACATTCAAAATATATGGATTTGTATGAGAAAAAAACCTATCGTTTCTGTAACCTACGAAAATGAAAGGATTTCAATAAAAAACAGCTTACCTTTCTTAAAATGTGTGTTACGTCCCTCCTGTGTGGTCCACGGGCCGATTTATGGCCGTTTTATGGGTTTTTATGTAAACGGTTTTCTCTCTGTATAAAGGTTTACCCTTTATATAGTGGACCACACAGGAGAGATGTAACACACAGTTTAAGCAAGGTAAGCTGTTTCTTATTGAAATCCTTTCATTTTTGTAGGTTACAGAAACGATAGGTTTTTTTCCCATACAAATCCTTATATTTTGAATGTTACGCAACAATGCCGATGCTCGTCGATGCTCATATTTCGAGCTTGGGCTACCTGTGGTAATTCGCTGTAATTGACCAACCATTAATAATTGTTTCTTATAAGTTTGACTATAGCAGCAGACTGAAAAGTTATAATAGCATTGAACTTCTCTAGTTTCTCTATCATTCTTCTTTCTGTATTCCCTTATTGTTTCGTTCAGTTTACTGATGCAATCATGCATTACAGTTAGGGAGCAAATCAGTTATAAGCAGAAAAAAGCTAGGCTATTTGCCTTTGAACAAAGCTGTTACAACCATCTAGTAGCTTTTGGCACAAGCTCAGGGGAAGCTATTTAATCTGAAAGTTGCAATCTTCTCTCTAACAACATATTAGATAGAGCTATCCTCTGGGACTCGTATTTTTACTAAATCCCGTCAAAAACTGATCCAACGATAAAAAGCGATATATGCACGATATGCAGTGGAGCTAAATACATATTTATCTAAACGCAGGTTTAAATGCAAGATTATCAAACAAATATAAGACACTTTAAAAAACCTTCTATCTTTTCTTTCATTTTTCGTGTCTCTTAGACTATGTTAATCTAGCTGACGAAAGTTAATGCAAGGATCTAAACAAATTATTACAAAAAAAGAGCTTATTTAGGTTTCATGGTAATGCCAATTAACTCTTTAATAACCCTGTAATTTAAAATACATTGAAGATTGCATGATGATGATGATGGTGATGATTGGCTGCCGAAAGAAAGTCTTAAGAAAGAAATGGAGGGTTTGAGTCCAAGCCCCGAGAATAAATACAGGCAGGATTTCTCGCCTTTGTGCAGATTGTGTGGGAAGAAAACCGACTCTGTCTTCCCGATATCATCCGTAGTTTGCATATAAACAGAATTATACAACCCCAGCCATGTCAGCAATATGGCCAGAATTTAAAACACCTTTCGTAGAGGGCTGTGGAGTTCGATAAAAAAGGACATTGCTATCATAGGATTTCACACAATTCAGACTGATCACGTCATTTAACATCGTCAGCCTGACATAGTGTTTTTCGATAAGAAGCAAGGACACTCCTTGTCATATATATAAAATACATACCGGTCCCTGGGGATGCCCATTTGGATGAAAAAGAGAAGGAAAAATTTGAAAACTACGAGTATTTAAGAAGAAAAGTTGCTGGACAAGGGAGTGTATATGCTACAGGTATTACTGACTGGGTTGGGGGTTTGGGTATGGTGACGGAAACTTTACAAAGGAGTATTCTTTCGTTTGCAGTTGATAATAACCGTTGTTTTTTATTTCCTTGATTTTTGATATAATGAGAGGCATGAAAAGACAAGCGGACAATTTTTTATTCTCATTCATTTTATTTTTACTCCTTAAAATCGTCTTATATTTCCATCAATCCAATTTTTTAAGTAGCGGACTCTGGCGTAGACGCCATATTTCTCAGGGGAAGCACAACCGCTACCCCACGAAACCACGCCTTCAAGGAAGAACTTGCCATTGTGTTCGCAAACCATAGGTCCTCCAGAATCTCCCTGACAGGAGTCTTTACCACCCCTATCGAGTCCAGCACAGACCCTGGAAGTGTGGATGCTGGAGCCATAGGCTTTTTTGCACTTGGCTTCAGAGACGATCGGAACAGATACTTGCATAAACACTTTAGACAGCGATCCTTCTGATCAAAGTGTTCCAAATCCTGGAAATTATGAACAGAAGAAAAGGGAGGAACACTCAGAAAAGGGACTTGCAGCATCAATATCACCTAACCACTGGTGACAGTCTCAATGTTAATAATAACGTTAACGATAACGCCATCATAAAGACGATGATAATAAATATGTTACGCCAAAAGTGTGAATAGAGTGAGCAATGATTACGATTGTCGTATTTTATTTGTCAAATTTTCCTATTATTAATTAGAGGTGGTTGAAATTAGGCTTGACTGCTTGTTTCAGGGCATAGAATACGATAACATGTAGCCTGTGTACAGACGCCCCCTTCCCTAAAAAATCGATTTTTTAGGAGAGAGGCAGTTTGTACACAGCCCAGATAACATGCAATAAACTGAAACAAAACAACATTAACAACAACAACAAAAAAATCAAAATCAGGGGGCGTCTGCCTCTATAACTTTGTATTCAGGGTATGAAAGCAAACTTTTACACATTGCACTTAGTCTCAATTCAAACGTGGGCTTCCCATCTTTGCATGTGGGTTCACGAGCTACTTCATGTATGCCACCGGTGAACCTTAGGGAGGAACCCGTCCCAGAGGCCTAGTTCCCTACTTAATTTTTAGACCAAAATGAAGTCTAAAGGAACCGTACGAGAAACTTTATTGTCAATGCCCTTCCTCCCTCTAACCAATGGGCAAAGATGAACGCTCCCCCGGCCCTCCCCTACTTGAAGATCTCAATCCGCAACTGCTATGAATATTCAAACGGAAGTTAAGTTACTTTTAAACTCATAATCTGCAAGCCGCTTTTTTCTTAGTTCTTATATATTTAGTACACAAATGGGAATCATGGTCCCAGGCGTTCCTAGCGGAGAAAGTGGAAACTAGAATAAGCCGAATCGTTGCGTGACCGAAGCCACGTATTTTTGCGAAGAAAGCTTAGGAAAGATTAATGCGCTTTAGAGCTTTTCCGGAAAGGGTTGGTCCACGGATTCTATCGCCCGAAACTTGATTACTTTGGAACAAGTGAACACTTCAGTGGTCGAAAAAAAATTAAACCATGATGGTGAGGCTAACTGGTCTTTTATTGTATGCAAATAAGTCTTGCGGTGTGTGGTTTACTTTCGGCGTTGATTAAAATGACGCGCCATGTGCTTCAGGAATTTTCGTGTATTTATACACGCGTACAGCCTGCAACTGCAAACGTATTTCCGGTCGTCGCTAACACGCGTACTAAATCAATTCAGAAAGAAATCGTCCAATACAATATAAAAGGTAAATATCCTGAACCGTCAACCGAACTCAACCGTCGATAAAGTAGGAAGTGAAAAACCTTTAGCCAGTAAATACTGTTTCGTGTAGAATTAATCGCCTGCTCAGTTCTTATCTAATCTCCAAGCAAGCGAGACTCAACGACGCCTTTAAGAGCGTTCTTGTTATACCTGTGACCCAGCAAGCCTTATGATCGATTTCTGTTACATCTTGGCTGTAGGTAGGCAAACAAGCCAGTCCAACTTTTTCATTTATTTGAGCTGGCTTATCCAGTTTCAGCATAGCGATGTCGTGAGCCAATCCGCTAGGTTTGTTGTAATTCTCGTGATTGATGATTCTTTCAACTCTAAAATCTTGCTCTGTTCCAGTTGTACCTGAACGATAATGAGCACCCATTCTTTGAAATAAAAATACAAAGCACATGGAAAAAACTTGTTATATACCTCTTAGTAATTTGTATCAAATTCTTTAACGAAAGGATGATGAGAAGCGTAGCTTCCCTGTTAGTAGAGGCTTGTTTTCCCTGATATTCGGCGGGAGGAAAAGAAAAAAATAGCTAGAAAGTAGTTGAGTATTTTAGGAAAAGGGTGTACAGTAACCGAAACTCCGAAAATAACAGTTATATGACAGAGTAAGAATTGAAAATAGTGGCTTTTGGAGAAAAACGGAATTAAGGACGAGTACCAACAACAATAAACCTATATCCCTACGAATTGACTCCGGGTAACATTGGTTGGAGGCAAGAAATGAGTTGACCACTACGCAACCCTTAAGCTACAAAGACTCAGGGTCTTATTAATGAGAAATGAAGGTACTTCCTTTGCCCTGAAAACAGCTAGACCTTCGCGTGGCTCCGATGACCACGTAAAATGGTGGTCTGGTCTCCAGTAGAGACATAAAAAATACTGTCTCCAATTAGTACTTTCGTGACGCTCAAATAAAGTGCATTTTTAACTCCTCTTATCAACCGATGCCTAGTTAGCTCAGTTTGAAGAGCACCAATCTATTAAGCGGGAGGTCGCGGTTTCAAACCCAGGCCGGGCCAACACTCAGGGTCTTAAAATAACTGAGGAGAAAGTGCTGCCTTTGCAATGACATCTGCAAACGGTTAGTGACTTTCTAGTCTTCTCGGATAAGGACGAAAAATCGTAGGTCTCGGCTCACAGTACTTTTATTCATCTGGTTCTCGTGGGACGCAAAAGAACCCACACCACTGTTGGAAAAGGGTAGGGGACGTAGACCCCGGTGGTGTGGCCAACCTTTCCTGGGCTGGACGGGTTATCTGTAACGACACACTTAAATTGGAGCCCAACTCTGTTGTGTGCTCCGCATCATATGGTGGAAGTGATAAAATAAAAGAATATGTTCAATAAATGTAACGTTTAAGCCACATCATACCTTACTCTAATTTGTGAGGAAGACTTCCGATGTACACAATGGGCTGCAGTTACAACCCACTGAGGATGGACCAATGTTCCTCCACAGAATGTAAAACCTGAAGAACTTCTGACTTGTGCTTGCCACGGCCAAGCTCCTTTAGGAGCCTCTTCTCCACCCACGATTCCTGCACTCGGTTGATAACCACATTTTCCTGATCCACCATTACCGCCGCCGCAATGATTACAGCTTTTCATGCAGTTTTCCTTCATCCACTGTTCATATTTCCCTTTGCAATATCCACGTCGAGCCCAACCCGGACAATTGTTGTCTTTGTCCACGCAAGCTGATAAACAGGAAAAATTAATGAAAGTTAAATGGACCAACTGATCGATATTGTCAGTTTTAGGAAATTCAACTTACATGTGTATCGCTTATTTGGACTTCAATGCTGCACGATAAGCAACAAGCTACTCTTTAACACACCGACACGTTTACAACGAACACAACTGAACGAAACCAAAGGAAAGGAAATTGGGTTATGCTAGGTTCTTTTCTTCTCCGTGTAGAAATTACTCAAAGCCATGTTCACCATATACACGTAGAATTTTCTGAGTTTTGTTGACCTGAAATTCGCTTTACCGGAATGTCTAATCGTGCAACCAACCTTTTTGGGATACTGAATCATTCTGTGCAGTTGCAACATGCTTGATCTCATAAGAGTATAAACTACGAAATGAATATGTTTATAAATTAAGCTGATTCATATTAACTTACAGCTGCCTTCTCCTCCTCCTCCTCCACCTGCGCCGCCACCGCAAAAATTACAGGTTTTTTTGCAATTTCTTTTCATGTTCTCTACAAAATCTTTTTCACAATACCCTTTGCTTTTCCAGAAAGGGCACCTTTCCGTTAAGTCCTTACAACCCGGAATAAATTATGGTTAAGTCTATAGTGAGTTGTCTGGTTTTATAAACAAGATTCACTGTATATATGTATATCACTGAAGACATCTTTACTTCTTTTACTTCATCCCGGTGCGGAGCTATAATTGGCACTATTTCTTTAAGATTTTATCATAGTCACTAGTTACAAATAGCAGCTCATATATTACTGAAACACATTTCACGTTTACTTATTAAGCATTCAGCAAAAAACAAATCACTGGCTTTGGATCATATATAAAAAGAACAGTATCTGACTCGCAGGGAGATAAATAATCAAAATGCAATGCTTATATAAAATTTCGCAAGTTGTACATTTCGTTACCGACAAATTTGGCTACCATGATCGAGGGAAATAGGGTGCTGCGCGATGATTCCATGGCCAGAAGCCCCGGGGCTACTCAGCAATGTTTTATCAACTCAGAAAAATATTTCAGGCGTCTCGCGTAAAGAGAAAAGTGCACTTTTTATCTTCCAATGGATAGTTCGAGGCTGTCATTTGATGCTGAGTACGCACGTTAAAATTACGCGACTCGTGCGTTCGTGCGTAGAATTGGCGTTCGCAAATAAAAAAGAGGCATTGTAAGAAAGATCAACTTCACGTTTAAGCGCAAAACCTCATACCTTATCTCTTACCTATTTACGCAATGTGTGTACACGCACGAAGTAATTACGCGATAGTGGAGATTCACCCTAACACCCAATCATTTACAAGATATTTTTCATGTAACTGTCAGGAGCGGTAAAAAATTAATTGTGCACATCCTCAAATGATCCAAAATACGATTCAAGGTACGTAACAGGGTCAATCCGGAATCATTTTATTCCATTTCTAGAGTGGAATTCATTGAGAACAAAAGAAACCCTTAGAGGTTCTATCTGTTGTAAAAATACCTATGGAGGTATTAAATTTTTGATTTTCATCACAATGTTTTAGCCTCTCTTTTTTCTACCTAAAAACGAAGATGATAATAGTCTCATTCAAGGAAGAAAGAGAAAACGCACACACCCATAAAATGTTAAATTTACGACTCTCATTACTATGTTTTAGCCTTGGTTTCTTTCTACATGAGAAAAAGACAATAATAATAATCTCAATGGAAGAAAGACAAGAAATTCAAGTGAAAACTTTACCTTGGATGAGTGAAGATGACACAAAACACACCAGCAAAGCGAAAAAAAAATCCCATGTTGGTTGGTGATGATTTTCATCGAATGCACGCAAAAGGCACTTGTTTGGACCTAAACGTAAATTATCTAGCTGTGTTTAAGCTTTCCATATGGGTAAATTCGAGATCACCTGTATCCATACTAAGTTTTTGATATGGCGCAATTTTCTATAAGACTCATTTAGAAAGGAATTTAGAAAACTGAAGTGATTGTGACAAAACTGAGTAAAAAATGGTATGTTTGTACTTCCAGTTGAAACACCTGAAGGTTTGCCTTTTGGCTAAAATGCTCTTGTTTATACAATTTAAAAGTTTTCCCTCGATCACAAAATTACTGTCTATACGTGATTTGTTTATAAAATGGGTTGATAAACAACTTTGCTTAATTTTTTTATAAGACTTAGAAACAGTTTAAATAGCTGGAGATCCGAATTCAAACTAGACTGAATCGTTCTTCGACGTTCTGCAAATATTAAAGACAGCCGTTAATTGCAAGTTTTTATTTAGCAGACTTTTGATATACAGTAAACACTCCATGGTACTATGAAACCCACGTACCTTTCCAAGATAGTGTAGGTTCTATGATTTTTAAGGGTTTTTATATAATTATGTGTGAAATTTGGTTCTTTACGTTCTTTTTCCTTGTTTAAAAATCACTGGGTTCTTGTTCTAATATTACATACATACACACATGTCCCTTTGTTATTGTGTCTGGTCGTTCTAACGCCATATGCTCTAACTGGGGTCACGAATTAAAATAAACTAAAATACAAGATTATTTACAACACATTTCTTGAAATTACCTAGTAAAATATGTAACTTCGAGATTAAGAATGTATAAAAACATTTTTCTTACAACGGCCTAAAATATTCTACCAACTAAGACTATAGATACATTATGTAAGAAATTATCTAAATTACTGCTATCTAACCAATTTTCAAATACAAACGCTAGCCTTAAGTTCTTGTGAAAGGTAAGGACTAATGCAACACGGTTCTGGGGAACTCAACAGTACGGTTGGGCTGCAAGACGAACGTTTCTCATACTTTAATTCTCTTTAATGCAGGTGCACCAAAGGTATAAAGGTTTCAGCAGTGAAACCTTTAGTGTTCGATTAGAAAAATGTCTCTCCAGGTAAATGAACATGAAAATAAAGGCTAAACCCTCTCCGGTTTCATGTATTTGCTTCAAGGACCGAAAGAAAGGTTAGTTTCGCAATTTTGTTCTTTCGAGAAACCCTCCTTCTAAATTTTAATTCCTTTAATATTAATTTTCTACGCTTTGCTTTATGATTAATGATCTTGAACTAATTCCACTCCAAAAAATTAATAGGAACCTAGCCCGCGTAGCTCAATCCAAGTCTGACTGCCAAGGAAATCGTTTCGTAAATAGTGAACTCGCAGCAAGTAGTAACAACCTGTTACGATTAACCTACTTTCCCGTTTGCATTAGATCTTTTCTGTTTTTGGATTAGATTGAAACGAATCAGATCGAATTTCTCCAACTGTAGCCTTGCACGGTAAGAAATGTTAGGGCTCAGTGGATAGCTCCTTCTCTCGTGTATTTGGTCCTGTTTTGCATTGCACGTTCATTGATTCGTATACACTGTAATTTTCAGGGAGTTATAATAACTCCTCTAGTGGGGCTAATTTAACTCCTTACAGTGGAGTTATTTTTATGCGTGGAGTTATTTTAACTCCAAAAAGGAGTTTAAAGAACTCTTTTTCAGGAGTAAAAAAAGTGACCACAGATTTTGAGGAGTTAAAATAACCCCAAAAAAGGAGTTATCCTGTACCTAAAATTTTTACTCCACTTTCAGAGTAAATTAACTCCAAAAAGAGTGAAAACAACCCCTGTAAGGAGTACAAGTAACCCCATTTCGGAGTAATTTTAACTCCAAGACTGGGAGTAAAAGAACTCTTTTTCAGGAGTAAAATGACCCCAAATTCGGAGTTAAATTAGAGTTAAAATAACCCCAAAAAAAGGGGTTATCCTGTACCTAAAATTTTTACTCCATTTTTGGAGTTATAATAACTCCCTAAAAATTACGGTGTATATATATATATGTAAATTATTTTTATGAAATGTCATTTTTTTTTCATAGATATTTTTCATTAAAGAAAACCAGGGAGGAGCAGCGTGGAAGTCAACAGAAGTAAGTTTATTATTTATTTTATTTCTTGTTTTCTTTTCACTCGCTTTAGAAAGGACTTTCCGGTTTTTTTTTTTTTTGTCCGAGGGGAACCGGTTCTAGTTTTGAAAGGTTCGAGTTTGCGCGGTATCTTTCTCCTTTCAACGGCTCTCTTCGTGAATGGAGAGGTTTTGATCGGAGCGTGTGCGAAACGGGGACTAATATGAGCCGAGTTTGGCAAGAAATTCTATTTCCACGGTTTGCAAAGTGCCTGGGACATCATTAAGTCCGGGAAGGCTTAAATGGGCGCTCGTTGCTCAAAGAACCGAGCTTCGGGCACAATCCGAGAGACCATCCGGTGGATGGTGTATAACGTCTCTGCCCAGCTCTGCACACCGTGAAGAAGTCTCCAGCAGGCAATAAGGGGCAAATTGGTTAGTTTGGACATAAGAAAAGAGGGCCAACGAAGTTTTTGGCTGTGATTTTTGCCTTGCTGGAGACTTCTAAATTGTGTTGTTATTGCCAGGATGTAATGTGTCCCGCACGAGTTGAACACGGATTTCCCAGAATGCACTGCGAGAAAGGTTAAAAACATGTTTAATATTTGACCATTACAGTGAGACTGTTCTGTTGTTGTGTTTCAGTTTCTACGACGGAGGTGCTGATCTTTGAATAAGCGAGCAACAACGGTGAGTAGCAGGCTTTTTGCCAGGAAAGGTTATGTTACAAAGTCGTGAAAGTGTAGTTGAAGTCAAAGTCTGTGGTTTCGTATAGCGAAGGTTTATTTTTGGTCATGTGTCGAGCGACTCTGGAAATTTACTGTGTCCAAAAAGAGCCGCCGTCCTACTGCACAGGCTGAATTGTCGTTCATTTTCAATTTATTGTTGGCATTGCAAGCTAAATGCTGATCGGATCGCGGAAGAGTAACTATTTTTCCTCAAAGCATGTTAAAGTTCCCGCGCTATAGCACCGTCGCGACGACGAGCGCCGTTTATGATTGATTGTCTGGAATGTTCGGTACAATGTTTTTAATCTGCTTTATGCACCGGTACGGGCGATTATAAAACCATTGCGGGATGAAACTGATCTAGGGAAAATGATGTAAAGAGATATATTACTTTTTAAACATGTG